TTAACAAAACCATTATACCCTGATTTCCCATTTTCAATGGGTTCAGGGTATAAAAACTACGGATTGATATGGAAAGCATGCTGCCACAATTTGTGGCTACAGAACTTATGCACTACAAGTGGAATTCTGTTGGATGAGAGCTTTTCTTTTTCTTTTGTTTTCCTCTCAAAGTTTATATGTTTTGCTCTCAGCAGAAGAAGTTTTTAACGAATATACAAACTTAACTGACGTCTAGGTTATACTCACTTAGCGCTACGATTTGTTTAAATGGTATAAGGGTTTTTCGCCCCAATCTAATACAAATCCAATAATGATAATAATATGTATAGCTAAACAAGGCGTCGATTACAGTTAGTCTAGTTATGCTTATCATGAAGTATATCTAGGCTTCTTCTTCTTCTACCTTCTACAGAGTATTTATTTATTTATTAGAGTTTACAAGAAATATAAAATTAAGACTAACTTAAGAATTAAGCACTGGCAATTAGAGCCTTCGGCTTGTTGTGCAGTATATTTATGATATTCTATTAGCAAGGTCGAGGGTGCGCATAGTCGAACACTCCCGACAAGAGCACTGCTTCTCATTGTTTTGTAAGTCATGCTATTCATGTTTATTTAGTTTATTCTTTCTTTGAGTTAGTCTCAACAAGTCCAAAATTTTATGAATAATTTCATACAGACGAATAATAATATAATACATAACGCAACATCAAGTTTTGCTTCTATTTAATTTGTTATCCAATACCCAATTCATATTTGCCAATGGCTTAGGGGCAGAGCAACTTTTCCATGAAATCCTTTATTTTCCTTAAGCATATTTTAGCTTCAAGCTAAAATTTGTATTCCCTTTATTTAATTAACATTAATTTATTGAGTTTTGGGGAAACTTCTGAAATTTGTTTTTCTTCTTATTCCAATTTGAATTAATTTCAACTTCTCACGTTCTTCTTTTTCCCCTGGCTTATCCTCTGTTTTTAAATTCTTCACGTACTTCACACAGTTATTTCTATTGATTTATTCATGCCTTACGAGCCCAACAAAATGTGAAATATGTTTGTTAATAACGTGACTCACATGTGTAACTGCAGTCCATTTAGGGTTTTCTGGTCAATGTTAGAAAGTGTTGAGAGTGTGTTGGTGTATAGTGTTGTTCCGTCACTTTCTTATCGACGTGTTGTGTGTTATGCGTTCATAAATCAACTTATCTCTAGGTGCAGTGCGATTGTGTTGATTATATATATATATATGTGTGTGTGTGTGTGTGTGTGTTGATTATGAAAACATTTGTATTACTCGTTGTTTTTTGTTTCAAAGATACAATATCTACGAGCCTATAATTAGAGTTCACTTTTCGCCTTATATGTCATTTCAATTACCTTGTTGTTGGATGGATGGATTCCCACAGCTTTTGTTTACCTACTCAGGAAGTGTTTGCATTGTAGATTCATTGTGCGAATATAGAGATATATTCTGTATCGATGCGAATATAATTTTATTTAAATTTCCATCGGCCACTGAGATGTTTCATTTGTGAGCGGGCGGGTATTGAATGCGCAACGAAACGAGAAAATCTGTGAAAAAATATTTATATAGTGAAAACGAAATTGTGAAAAGCTTAAAGAAAAACAAGACAAAAAATTTGACAAACGTCTAAAAAATAAAAAATAAAAATAAAAAGAAAACACGAAATTCGCACAGGTAATCAGAGAATTTGAAAAATTGACAAAAATTTATAAGAGCAACAAAAACAAACATGTTTATAAACAATTTGAAAAATTAATGTTGCGCGCAAAATGTTGTATTTTTAATAATTATGAGAATTGCTGGCAATTAGCCAGCTTCGAATTGTCTCTCGCTCTCTCTCTTCTCCCTCTCCCTTTCTGTATCTCTAGTGAAATGGCTCGTATCATTTATAAAACCTTGATCTTGTCCGACAGCCATGTGCAATACTTCATTTATAATTATTTTTTGTGAATTGTGATATACATATACAACCCCTAAAGGAAATTGCAAGTGGTATGGACTCTATGAGTCATCATCATGCGGCCTTATGCAAATAACTAGACGAGCATCCCTCGTACTTATTTTTGGCCTCTGAGACCGCCACGTGTTTTGGCAATTCCTCATACTTCCTGCCTCAACAAACAAAACATTACGCCGGGTTAACGCGATGAGCAAAATCGATAAACATTTAGCCTAACCGTTACTTGCGACTTTAATTTCCATGTTGAGCTTTTCCACCCAGTTCCAGTCTCTGCCCGCCAGTGACATAATATGCTCAGTGCCCAATGTGTCACACGCCAACTCAACAAACTGCGGCAGAGGAAGGGAAAGTGTGAGAGAGTGACAGAGTGAGAGAGAGAGCGAGATAGCGCACACGGACTGAGCGAAAAAGGGACAGTAAACGACAGAACGTCGCCAGACCCAAACCCCTAGTAGGTCGTTTTATATGCATAAAAATGTCTGTCAAGTGGGTATATCAGGCCAAGAGTCAGAAAGAAGAAAACCATGGAACATATATGATTTAAGTTTCTTTCAGACAGCATTAGCAATATTTTGGAATATCAAAAAGTAGATCAAAGATTTCTTAAAAGTATTTAATCACCAGATGGTATATATGTATATACCTCTATCTATACACCTATTTTGTTGTTGCCTTGAAATTCAGATGCTTTTAGCCTTCTGTCACAAGGGTATATTGTAGTCGATCACTTGGTTCGAATGTTCATTACTTGTTTTTCCTTGACAAGCTTTTCCATGGACACTTGACTCCGAGCACGGTGCGTGCGCTTTTTATGGCTTTGATGGCGCCAATCGAATTTAGTTATTTTCTCTTCACCAAAGAGCAACTTAAATGGACGATGAGCAGGATAGAAATTGGAAATTATACAGCATATATAGCTGGAGCAACCATTTTGGCTAAGTTAGGGTTAATCGCAGCAAAACAAGATTGCATTACTTTGGCAAGCCGAGTAAATAGAACAGAAGTACAATGGCAGCAGAATGCTTTGTTTGGGCATTGAAGGAGAGGAATTCCTGTTTCTATTGCTTTTCCTGTTCATCTCAGTGTTTGCTGTTGAAATACTATTGTGCTTTGGTGGAGCTGACAAGGATTGTGTTTAGTTTTTGCTTGAGTTGTCAAACATTTCTGTTGATTATATTAGACACATTTTAATAGTTCAGATTGTTATACACCTTACAACTAGCGAGAGCATACAAATAATTTTATAAAAATATTTCGATTTCCTTTTGATCGCTAGCCAAAGCATCGTAAAGCGTAAATTTCTTGTACATATTTAGAAGTTAATCACAAAAAAAAAAAAGCAAACCCAAACACACTTATCGCTATGAATCCATCAAACTTGGGCAAACAGAATGGGGCTTTAGTATTAGAGGTACTACAGGTGCTTGGTCGCCCGGCCACCATTGAGGAGGTGTCTCAGCGTGTGGCCAATATATACAAAGTGGCCCGTAAACGCATTCAGCCCGTTGTTGGAGATATTCTGACGGCTGGTGTGCATCAAGGATTCTTTAGTTGCCGCAATTACGAATATTCTATCATTCAGCCAACCATTGATCAACTGCGCCAAGATATTGACAAGTATGTGGATGAAATGTTATCGCTGGACTGCACAGATGAGAAACTGTTGCCGCAGCCATCACCGTTGATGATCAAGCTGGAGCAATTGGATGGCTCGCCGCCATTAACGCCCTCCTTCGTTCTGTCGCCTTCGCCATCAAGCGGGGAGCTGCGCGAACGAACGCCGCCCGGAGATGCATCATCGGCGGTTGCTACGTATTGATTGAACCCATGATTGACACTGCTGCCCTTTTGACTAGTTTTTTCTATGTATTACTCAAGATATATCTATGTTTTTAAGTGTAAATTTGACAGCACATCGGAAGAGCTACACATCAAGTGCAGTGGTGGAAGTTCAGCTCAGTGCAATAAACCTGCGTCCAGGGCAGTCCAATATACGCAGTTAACAATGCGTTTATTTTTCCGGCTCATTCGATACGTGAAATGAGGAGCAGCCTGGTGGCAATTGCGAGGTGCTGTAGCTCCTTTGTTCGTTTTGTTGTTGTTGTTGTTGTTGGTTTTAATAGCTTGTGGGATTCCGACGTTCTCTAGATTGCACATTCCTGGCAAACAAAGGCCATGCTTTGCCCTGTCCCGTGGCTTACTTTTCATTTTTTATTTGCAAACTTTCAACGCTTTGAAGTTCATTTTCATAAGCTGCCAGCCATACGTATGTACATATATATAGGGTTGTATATATATGTATGTGTATATGAATATGTGGGAATGCTTTGTCGGAGTACTCGCAGCACTCGGCACTCGGCTCGTTCCTTGGACCCATTGTCAGGTTGTTGCCTGTCTAGCGCCCACGCTCGGGTTCAAGTCTGTGTGCCACAAAAAAGTTTAGCTCTCAGTGGCTCATTTCTCCATTGGGTTTGGCGTTTTGTCTGCTCTCGCTGTCAATGCTGCCCGTTAGGGCAACGCAAATTTTCCTTTCACTCCTTTGTTGTCCCGATCCACAAAGCTGAGCAGTTGCTCCGCCCCGTCCGCGCCGTCCGCCTCTTGTCATTTAGATGAGTAATCGTCGCCTGACTGCCCGCTTTATGCTCTTCTTTAATTTTGATTTATTTTTGCTTTCAATTTAATTAATTGAGGCACGCGGCTACAACAATCTCTTCCTTGTTGTCAACGACAACGGCTCAATGGGATTAGTCAGTCTCTAGGAAATCTTAAGACTGTGCAAAACAATTCCTTAACTCTTTGTGGCAGAGTTTTTAATACTTTTGGCAACCCCTCGGATTATTCTTGCACAAATAATTCGAAAATATTCCTAATTTGCAATCTACATGCCATTTTATATAACTTAAAGTTTGATAAAGATTCTGTGCGCTTAACCAGATGATATGCTCAGCTAGAAGATACCCTGTACCAAGACTCAATTTAACTCAGTCGGAGAATCTTGAAAGTATAATAGGAAAACTCTTAGATAAGGTGACAGTCATATTGCCTATATGATTTTTATTGTAAACGATCTGGTTAACATGCTCTTAAGTTCATGAATATATATGTAAAGTAGTAAGCCTTGAAAATCAGTTGCAAAATATTCCCATAAATAAAACTTTCAATAAGGTATAGCTAAAAATAAGAGAGCAAACTATATAAGGCTTAATGCGAGTAGCTCTGTTAATCAAGACAATAAATCGGACAGATATATATATACATATATGTCTATATATATATGTGTGTGTATATATATATAGAAAATCGGCATATAGGAAGTGAATCAGACGCACTCTCACTCTCCGTCTGAGCTCAACCTGATGAACTGGCGCGAAAAGCTTTTCTTGGTTCGTTGACATTAGCTCATGAGCAAAGGAGACGTTCGTAAACATGATTTTAATGTTTGTTGTTGTTGTTTTCTTTCTCTCTTTCGTTTTGTCATTAATTAATTAAATTGTGACTGCGCGATGGGGGAAAATAAAATAAAATACGCAAAGACAAAGAGCTGGGGTGGAGCCGACCCAAGTCAGAACGTTAAATCAGCTGCTGAGTGTATAAAGTTATTAAATTAAGTAGCTTAATTAGGTTAAATTATCTACTAATTATTCGAGACAAATTTGCGTCTCATTAGCTATTTAATGCAGCAGAAAATGTCACTCAATTTTGGTCTAATAAATATGTATATTTCTTCTAATTGCAGCATGAGCCGCCAGCATCAGCGGCACCACCAGCAGCAGCTGCAGCAGCAGCAGCAACAGCAACAGCAACAGCTGCTGACAGCCCAACAGCAGCAACAGCAGGCGCTGTTGATGGCCGAGCATGCCGCTGCCGCGGAAGCCGCCGAGCTCTTCGATCTGCTCTGTGTGGCAACAACAATGCGTCAGATATTGGCTCTGCATCGGGCCATGTGTGAGGCAGTGGGGTTGCGCTCAGCGCCGCTGAACGAATTCTACCCGAAGCTGAAGGCCAAGGTGCGATCGTGGAAGGCGCAGGCGCTGTGGAAGAAGTTCGACGCACGCGCCGCACATCGCGTCTACGGCAAGGGCAACGCGTGCAGCGGCACCCGGGTTCTGGTCATTGGCGCCGGTCCCTGCGGCCTGCGGACGGCGATCGAGGCACAGCTGCTGGGTGCCAAGGTGGTGGTGCTGGAGAAGCGTGACCGGATCACGCGCAACAATGTGCTGCATCTGTGGCCGTTTGTCATCACGGATCTAAGGAATCTGGGAGCCAAGAAGTTCTATGGCAAGTTCTGTGCGGGCTCGATTGATCACATTTCCATCAGACAGCTACAGTGCATGCTCCTCAAAGTGGCTCTGCTGCTGGGAGTCGAGATACACGAGGGCGTCAGCTTCGAGCATGCCCTAGAGCCGACGGGCGACGGCACCGGCTGGCATGCGGCGGTCACACCCGCGGATCATGCTGTCTCAAATTACGAGTTCGACGTTCTCATCGGCGCCGATGGCAAGCGCAACATGCTGGACTTCAGGCGCAAAGAGTTTCGCGGCAAGCTGGCCATCGCCATAACGGCAAATTTCATCAACAAGAAGACCGAGGCCGAGGCCAAGGTGGAGGAGATAAGCGGCGTGGCGTTCATATTCAATCAGGCCTTCTTCAAAGAGCTCTACAGTCGCACGGGCATTGATCTCGAGAACATTGTCTACTACAAGGATGAGACGCACTATTTCGTGATGACTGCGAAGAAGCACAGTCTGATCGACAAGGGTGTCATCATTGAAGACATGGCCGATCCCGCCGAGCTGCTCGCATCCGCCAACGTGGACACACAGAAGCTGCACGACTATGCACGCGAGGCCGCCGAGTTCTCCACACAATATCAGATGCCTAATCTGGAGTTTGCCGTCAATCATTATGGCAAGCCGGATGTGGCCATGTTTGATTTCACCTCCATGTTTGCGGCCGAGATGTCCTGCCGGGTTATCGTGCGCAAGGGCTTCCGGCTGCTGCAGTGCCTTGTGGGCGACAGTCTGCTGGAGCCGTTCTGGCCAACGGGTTCGGGGTGCGCCCGTGGCTTTCTCTCCAGCATGGATGCTGCTTACGCCATCAAGCTGTGGTCCAATCCACAGAACAGTACTTTGGGCGTTCTAGCGCAACGTGAGAGTATCTACCGCTTGCTCAACCAGACCACGCCGGACACCCTGCAACGTGATATCAGCGCCTATACGGTGGATCCGGCTACACGATATCCGAACTTGAATCGCGAGTCGGTCAACAGCTGGCAAGTGAAGCATCTGGTTGACACCGATGATCCGTCAATACTGGAGCAGAGCTTTATGGATCCGCATGCGCTGCAGTTGCCCCACGTGGAGACGCCGGGCAAGCGCAAACGACGCAGTGGAGGTCAGTTAATATGAACAAATATGTTATTTATATATGCGAATCTTAATTATCTGATCCTGCACAGATGTCCTGCCGCAAGGTGCCATTTTGTTGCGCTGGATCAGCACACAGCTGTGTGCCTTTCCATTTGCCTCCGATCTCAAGGAACCCTCGGATGTCTTTCGCAATGGTCGTGTGCTGGTCGCCCTCATCAGCCGGTGAGTGGATTCATAAATCACTCAAAAGTTATTTATTTACGCCGTCTACTCCTGCTTAGCTATCGACCTGATCTTATTGATTATGCTGCTACCAAGGACATGAGTCCGCTGGAGTGCAACGAGCTGGCCTTTGCCGTGCTGGAGCGCGAGCTGCACATCGATCGCGTCATGAGCGCCAAACAGTCTCTGGAGCTGAGCGATGTGGAGTCCCGTGTCTGGCTAAATTATCTGGACCAAATTTGTGATCTATTCCGCGGCGAGATACCCCACATCAAACATCCCAAGATGGACTTCAGCGATCTGCGGCAAAAGTATCGCATCAATCATACGCATGCGCCGCCCGATTTCTCCAAGCTGCTGCAGACGAAGGCCAAGGCCAAGTCGCCCATGCAGGATGCCGTCGATGTGCCCACAACAGTGCAGCGGCGATCTGTGCTGGAGGAGGAGCGGGCCAAGCGCCAGCGTCGCCACGAGCAGCTGTTGAACAGCGGCGGTGTGGCCGCCGGCTCAGCTGCAGCCAGCAGCGCGGGCAGCAACAATTTGCAACAACAGGGTGTGTTAAAGATAACCATAATTCATAAAAGATCCAAATCCAGAGCAACGCATGTGCCATAGCTACCTCTCTAAATTGTATAGCCCAAATAAATATCAAGTTTTTTAATCAGAATATATAAGAGTCAGAGATCAAAAAGCTTTGTATAATTTTCAATGTACTACCTCCATATATAATATTGTTCTTATCCAAGTTTGTGTATGCAGAAATCCCATAATATTATTCAGAGATAGACGTTATAAACAGTTTCACGGTCTCTTATGCGATATACATATATTGTAATAACTATCGAAGTTATAATTCACTTAGATCTCTATAGTACAAAATTGGATCCGTTGTTTATTGTTCAAAAATAGGAAATAGCAGGATTATAAATAGTCAGAACCGTTGTTTCTGGTATATATTATAAAGACATTCCCATTTATAGTCAGTTCGCTCTCGAGTTATCTCTTTTATATTTCGATTCGTGTTCGCTAAAGACATTCCCATTTACAATAAGTTTTCCCTTTTAACATTTCGATTCTAACTTTTTGCATCTCTCTTCTCTTTTGCAGCTCAAAGTGATACACCGCGTCGCTCGAAGAAACGTCGCCAGGCTGATAAAACGGCGAACATTGTGAGTAGATGTTTCGACTATATCATGGATTGGTTCACTGGCGCAATAAATGTTGCTTGAAAAGTGATGCCATATCAAAATTTCTCTCAAATAATACATATATATATATATACCTATAAATATATATATACATATATATATAGCTAAATTCATTCAAATTGGCAAATTATGCGCATATGTTTAGGAAAGGTCATCACTTTTCAACTGTGTCAACAAACTTCTCTTTCTCTCTCTCTTTCATACAATTCTCCTTAAAATTTACGCTCATACAAAAATATATTTGATTGTAATTTATTGTTGAACGCTTGTCATACAAATCATATATATATAAAAAAAAAAAACAAATCGAATCAAAAAACATAAACGTTTACGATAAACCAAGGTTAAACTCATACTGAAAACAGCTCTCTTTCATGAACTCAGTAACGTCATAAGCGCATACGAATCCATCAACGAGGTCAGTTCGATCAGTGTCCAATGCTTTGCCATTTGTCATTCGTTTACCGTGTGCTCTCAATCCATTTGTAAACGTAACAGTCGAATTATTTCTACTAATCCAACTGGATCCCATACCGATAGTTCGTCATGTAGTTCTCTAGTTTAGTTTTATGTCTATTTCATATGAAAAAAAAAATACACACAAATGATTACACACTCTTCCTTGCCATATATACACACACACGCATATACACTCACACCCATACACCAACACACTCTTATGCCGTGTGAAATTGTCAATGTCTTGACTTTCCACTCTGCTGCGCAGGAGGAGCGCCAGCAGCGTCTGAAAGAAATCGAGGAGAATCGTCAGGATCGCATGAGCAGGCGACGCCAGCAGCGTTTCCATCAGACGCAGAATTTCTACAAAAGTCTGCAGCTGCTGCAGGCGGGCAAACTGCTCCGCGAGGGCGATGGTGTGGCCGAGGGCGTGGCCGAGGATGGTACGCCCTTCGAGGACTATTCGATATTTCTGTACCGGCAGCAGGCGCCCGTCTTTAACGATCGCGTCAAGGAGCTCGAGCGCAAACTTCTGTTTCCCGTAAGCAATAAGGATACGATTCAGAGATCCTGACTCTGCCTGCTGGTTATCTCCATGTTGGATGACACAATTTGCTGCACGCCGTGTCCTGTGTTCCCCATGTTTTGTCTTGGCTCTGCGCTCTCTGTTCAGTCTCTGCTCCTAACACAAACGAAACTAACTGAATCGCAGGCTCTTTGCTTTTTACTAACAAGAGAAGCAACTGAAGAGTTGCGGCATGAAGCGGAAAATGATTTTCAGAAGTTCGGTCATAAATCATTTATATGGCCAACGAATTCTCTCAAGAACTTTGCTAATCTGAAAAAAATGGCTAAATAATAATGAAAAAGCTTGGTAAACCTGTTGCTCTAACTAAAATGTGAAATAAACTGTATGTCTAAGCTAGTTACTACGATTTCTTAGCGTGATCTTTGCCAGCTACTAAAGAAACTTGCGCTACGTTCGTTCATCTAACTGCGTTAGACTAAAACCTAAGTTATATATTTTGTATTTTGTTTGCGTTTTGGTTTTGATTGTTTTTTATGTATTACGAAGATCTATATCTATATATTCAAATTTCAATTTATTCAAATTTTGATTTCTCCACTCCCGACTAAAATGTTATCCATGCCCGACCTACAATTAATGCAATCTGACACCCACACACAATTATACACTTGACTCCAACTCGAATGGCTGCTGCACCGCTCGCCGAACCACCAACATAACCACCTCCACTTCCCACATGATAATAGGATCGCGAACGTAACGATATACCCTCGGCGATGCCACGGAGCGCTGCCGATGAGCAGTTCAGCGATCGCATCAAGAGCATGGAGCAACGCATGACGGGACGGCCCGGCTATGGCAGTGATAAGAAACCCAAAGATCTGATGCGTGCCATTGGAAAGATCGATTCGAGCGATTGGAATGTGCGCGAAATTGAGAAGAAAATCGAGCTGTCCAAGAAGACCGAAATCCATGGGCCCAAGGGCCGGGAAAAGGTGCCCAAATGGAGCAAAGAGCAGTTCCAGGCGCGTCAGCACAAAATGTCCAAGCCCCAGCGCCAGGACTCGCGCGAGGCTGAGAAGTTCAAGGAGATCGATACGACGCTCAAGAATCTGGACAAACAGCTCAAGGAGGGCCACAATCTCGATGTGGGCGAGCGGGGTCGCAACAAGGTTGCCTCCATCGCTGGCCAATTCGTCAAAAAGGATGAGACCAATTCGGATGAGAAGAATGCCAGCAGCAATGCCACCACAAACACCAACAACACTGTCATACCCAAATCTGTGAGTAGCCCTGCGTTCGAACCGTATCATTATCCTGGGTTTTTCGCTTATGTGTTCTATATCCCGTATATGTACATTTATTTTGTATTTATTTGTATTATGCTTATGGCTTATCTTAACTTGGTCGCCGCGTGTGTCCTTATGGTATAAGGTTCCTCGTGTATTGTTGCCGTTGCTCTTGTTGTTTTAGCTAGCTTTTAACTCAGGCAGACTCACACACACAATCAAACACATTCTCATATACAACAACATTCATATGTACATGACAATCAACATTTATTAAGACGCACTTCAATGTTATTCGCTGTTCTAACCCCATGCCTAGAATATATAAATCATTTCTAATGGGTTTCATGTTCGCAGAGTTCGAAGGTGGCGCTCGCCTTTAAGAAGCAGGCCGCCTCTGAGAAGTGCCGCTTCTGCAAGCAAACCGTTTATCTTATGGAGAAGACCACCGTGGAGGGTCTGGTGCTGCATCGCAATTGCCTTAAATGCCATCACTGCCACACCAATCTGCGCCTGGGCGGCTACGCCTTCGATCGTGACGATCCCCAGGGTCGATTCTATTGCACTCAGCACTTCCGGCTGCCACCGAAGCCAATGCCGCAGCGTGTCGCCAAAACGAGAGTGAGTTACGCTAGAAAACCACTTTTTAGCCCATTTCAATTCACATTTCGAACTCGTAATCCCGCAGAGATCCGCTGCACCACAGTCACCTGCACAGCAACCAGCAGCTGCTGCTGGCGCCATTGCTGGCGTTGCAGCAACCGCTGAGGCGGTGCAGGCCATGGACACTACGCCCGCCGGAGGCGATACAATGGATTTGTTGGAAACCTCCAGAGCCGCTGCCTCGGCGGATGCCATGTCAGATGACGAAGCCAATGTCATTGATGAGCATGAGTGGTCGGGGCGCAATTTCCTGCCCGAGTCCAACAACGATTCACAGTCGGAGCTGTCCAGCTCGGATGAGTCCGACACGGAATCGGATTCGGAACTGTTCGAGGAGGCAGATGACTCGCCATTTGGTGCCCAAACTCTGCAACTGGCATCCGACTGGATTGGCAAACAGTATTGTGAGGATAGCGATGACTCGGATGACTTCTACGATTCCAGCGAAGGCATCGCGGGTACGTAACTCGTCCTAATTACCCTTGAAGTTTATTTTAGTTATTGCTTATCTGTTGCAGATGATGGCAAGGACGATACCGAGGGCGAGGAGTTCAAGAAAGCCCGGGAGCTGCGACGCGAGGAAGTGCGCCTGCAGCCTTTGCCCGTCAATTTGCCCACGGATACGGAAACGGAGGTGAGTCTCTTTGATCCGCTATCATTTGGCTATGGGAAACTAATATTATTATCATAATTTTGTCTTTAATTTTCTGTTGTATACTCTGATGATATCATATATACAATTACTATATAAACATTGTCTCTAAACATGGTGTTGGTTTCATAAAATTATACAAATTCCCATGTAGAAGCCCCAGTTGAGTGTAGAGAATAAGGAAAATGTGGAGCGAGCTTCGCTCAAGTCGGCCAACTCCTTCGAGTCGGCCAAAAGTCAGCCGAGCACGCCCGTCGCAGCGCCCACGCGTGCTCAATTGGAGCAGCTGGAGCGCAATGCGCCGCGCAAGTTCAGCAGCGAGATCGAAGCAATTAGCGAGAAACTGTACCACCTAAATAATATGGTCAAAATGAACAAAGACCTGGAAGTTCTAGCCAAGGAAAATCTGGTCAAGAGCGATATACTGAACAAGCTTACGCTGAAGGAGAAATGGTTAGCCGAGAATGCAGCTATAGCTGCGGGCATGGCCAATCCTACGAAGGCAGCCAATGTTGTTACAGCTACAAGTCCCGCTGCGCCACCCAAGTCCAAGTTTGATGAGAAATATGAGAAGATCGTGAGTGGGCCCCAAACGGGAGCTGAGCCCAGGCCAAAGCCAAAGCCAGTCATCGATTTTAATCTGGATGAGCTGAAGCCACGCAAGCCCAATTTCGAGGAGCGGCCCAAGGAGCTGCTACAAAAGCCAGAGAGTCTGAAGAAGTCGACTCAACTGAGTCCAAAACTTGAGCGTAAGAGCAGCGCCAATGTAAGTCGCTCCAACAGCATAAAAAGCAATGCCAGCTCCAAGTCAAGTCCGCGCTCGAAAAAGGCGCCGCTGCCCGATGACAGCAAAATGCAAATCGAGAAAATTCTGGGTGCAATTAAAAGACCGCAGCGCAGTGAGAAGGAAGAGGATATGGACATTGATGACGATGACGATGAAGCCTTTGTCGATACGGAAAGCAACACACAGCTCAGTGGCAAGCTCAAGGAGATCGGAGCCAGTAGCTTTGCGGGCACTATGGATCATATTAAATCTCAGCTGACTATGCCCACGGTGCATACAGCCAATGTGGATCTCTCCAAGTACTTTCCCAATCAGAAGGAGGAGAAGAGTGCCTCGGGCAATACTAATAAGAATCAGAAGACGTTAAAGGATGTGGATCTGGCCAAGTATTTTCCTAGTAGTCCGGCGCCACAGCGACGCGCTGTTGAAACAGTTGCAGAACGACTAAAGAAGTCACAAACTGAGGCAGCTATAGCCCAGCCCAAAGAGGCGGAAGCGCCGAAAAGTTCTCAGGCCAAAACGGATTCCAAGACAAAGCCTGTGCCGCCCAAGCGGCAGGCATCTCTAAATGCCTTCAGCTTACGTGACCATCAGCTGGATGGGGCGCTGGACTTGAGCAAGAAGAAAGCACCTGTTAAGGTATTACCACCTGCATCAAAAACTCCCGCCAAGCCCACCAATTCAACCACCTTGGCCAAGGCGACAACAACGCCGAAGGGTAAGATTAAAATTATAAAGAAAATTGTGCCCAAGGGCACAAAGGCCAAAAAGGCAGCGGCTGCTGCTGCTGCAGCTGCAGCTGCCGTGGTGGCAGAGAGTCCACCACCGCCTCGGGATGAAGCTGAACGTATTCTAGATGAGATTTTGGCAGATGGGGAGACACGTTCGCCCAGCTCCGAGTATCAGAAACTATTTAATGATGAAAAGTCACCCAGCGACCTATCGGACAAGATCGAACGCATACTAGAGGAAACGGGTCTCGATCTCGAGCTGGGCTTACCTCGACGAAACAGCAAAAAGTTATTGAAAACCAAGTCACTTGGCGAAGGCGACTTTGATCTGGAGCCAAAGCGACTGAGTGGCGTTCAAAACATACTCAAGCGATTCGAGTCCATGAGCTCTGTCAACTCGCAGCAGAGCGATGAGCAGACTTCCTTCAAGCTGCGTCGCATGGAGTCCAGCACCAGCAATATGAGTAGCCTGAATCGGTCACGCGACTCTCTGGTTTCTGCCAGTGACTCAATGAGTGACCTGGAGAAGACTATGGAGTATTTGCGCAACGAATGGCGGAATGAAGCAACAAATTTTCTGCAGAGGAAACGCGATAAGTTTTATGCCCAAAAGGAGGAGCAGCAAAAGGAGCAGGAGGTGAAAGCGGAGATTAGTCGGAGACGTGAGCTGCCCGTGCAATATCAGGACTCAAAACTTGCCAAATTCTTTGGCTTGGCATCACGCAAATCGCCCGAGAAGCGCAAGTCACCCATCAAAAAGCAAAAATCTCCCACAAAAAAGCAAAGTTCGCCTTGTAAAATTCAAAAGTCCCCCAAGACAAATAATTCGCTGGAGGAGCTGGCCAAGATTAGCAATGCCCGGCAGACGAAGCAAGCGCAAAAGAAGCCAACGAATGTCGTTCCGAAAATCAAAAAAGTTGAACCCAAGAAGCCAGCAAATCCAGCACCGCCTGTACCGGATGACTTAGAGATCTTACATTTACTCGATAAGGCAACAGAGGCCAAAGAGCTGGAGCGCTCCAAGACCAAAAGTCCACTCGTGGAGGATATTCCCTTGCCAGCAGCTAATGAAGTTGTTAACATAGAAACAGAGACCGTTGTTTCGCGTCCTGTAGTAGAGGATATTAAGAATTTACCCAAGACTGGCTGCGACAAATCGTTAAACAGTTCTCGACGTGGCTCCCAGTCCAGTCTGGTGCTCTCGCGACGCCAATCGGACATTTCGCTGACCGAAAAACTAAATCAAGATGCTCTGGAGGCGCTTCAAAATATCGAGATGGAACGCAATGTAGAGCATGTCGATGAGGTCTTCCAGAGCATGGTCGAGGCAATAGATCAGACACCGGAAGCTGCTGTAGATGACGATTTGGATGTTGATTCATTGTGCACTACCATCAGCAAGAGTCCCAGTGTCCAGCCCGTGACGGTGGTCAAGCGAGGCAGCTCCGAGGAGGAGAGCATCGAGAAACTGTTTAGCAAGTTTTCCGATGAAATGCTCGTTAATGTGGAGTTTGATTCAAATGATGAACTGATAGGAATAAGCCCCAGAGGTAGCCTCGTTGCCGGCAGCTCCGCGGAACGTGATTTTGTGGATAAGCTGGAGTCGCTGGAACGCGATGAAGCACCCTTGAATAGCGAGGAGCCGTTAAGTCGTTTCACAAGCGGAAAGCACGCAGAAATTGATGAGCTTAACGAAAGAAATTTTCCAGCCCGTCCTCAACGCAGGCAAAAAAGCAGCTCCTCGTCCAGTGAGCCGACTCTTCCAGTTGCACCACAGCGGTTAAAGAAGAAATTGGCCAAATTGGATCCGGAGAGTATGCCGCCTTCCGTGCAGGATTTGCTGCAGAAGCTGCACGTTAATAATGTGCAACCGGAGCAGGTGCAAATAGATACTAAGGCTTCTGAGGAAAAGCTGAAGTTTCCTCGACTTCTACCCAACGAAGATGTTGTTGATTACGTGGAGGCAGGGGCAGACGTGGTTGATCATGTAGAGAAAGTAATGCCGAATCCCAGTGTTAATGGCTTCAACACAGAAAAGCCTGTGATAGATGTAATACCTGACATAATAATAGAAACACCGATACATCTGCGTACAAAATCCGTGCAAGTGCCTAACAACAATTCAACCAAAAGCGACAGCTCCTCACACAGCAGCCTTAACGAGCCACCGAAGCTCGTGACGCCACCCAAGGCGCGCAGCAAGGAGAACTCGCTTGATTGGGATATGGAAAAGTTGCCCGCTTCGCCCATGCCGCGTCGCAAGCAACCGCTAATTCCAGCCAGCAAGGAAGGCTCCCTGGAATGGGATATGGAAAAGCTACCTAATAGCCCAATGCCATTGCGTCGTCGTATACCCGTAATCAAACCCTCAGACATCTCCCCCACCAACTCCATTCAGCTGCTAAATAATCTACCCAGCGTTGATGATGATGAGGCCTTAGCACAGGCACGTCTCATTCAGGAATTCGAGCTGGAACGCCGTCAGGCTCTGATCAAACGTGATGAGAGCTTTGAGGCAGCAGCTGCAGAGCAGCGTCGACGCGACTCTCAGCAGAGCAGCAGCAACTCCAGCGGCAAGCGCAGTCTTCCGCCTCCCACTCCTCCACAAGCAAGCGTTCGCCGTGGCACCACACAGGCCAGCAGCAGCAGGCGCGAGTCCGCGAGGCGGGAGGGCACGCCTCCCATGTTTAAGAAATTGGATTTGGGCGATGACACCAACTCTACGCTGGATTCCACGGCGGACTCCACGCGACGCAGTTCGTTTGCATTTATTGAATTACAGGATAACAAACCAGTAATTGTGCCCATGCCCAAAAAGCTGCATCTGCCCAAGCTGGAGGCGCCCAAATATGTGCCCGAAGCAAGGCCAGAAGATGAGCCGGTGCCAGAGGTCTTTAAGGATCGTGCCTGGCCCAAGCCGCACATCGGAGAACTGCAACTAGACAGCGAAGATGAAAACGAGGCAGAGCAAGAGCAGAAAAAGCAATTGCCGGAATATGCACGCTCAGACTCTCCGCCCTGCGCTGCTTTCCAGAATCGACAGTGGCCTGATGGCAAGACCATTTTCGAACAGAACAAACGCCCCGATTCTCTAGAGGTAGATGATGTACTTGGCTTGCTGGACGTTAAGCGACGCAAAAACAGGAGATTCAATTCAAATAAGCCACGTTCGCAGTCACCGCAGCCGTTCAAACCACTTGGAGCCAGCGCTCGGCTGAGCTCCAAGTCCTTTGGTGATCTCAAATCTGGGCAGTCTGTATCGGCGTCACAGCAATCCCTATCTGCACTCTCCAGTCAGGATACAGATACACGATCGACCACAAAAACCGTCGCAACTTCGCGTCCCTTGAGTAATATTAACTTTGATGACCCGGTAGATGCCAGCATGCGGGCTCTACTCGACCGAAGCAAGCGGTTGCACAATCGAAAGCGCGACTTTGTCAACGAACGCGTCGTGGAGCGAAATCCTTATATGCGTGACGTCATACGCAGCACGGATCGCAGTGACTACATGCCGGATGAACAGTTGTCCAGTTATAGGCCCCGTCACTACACCAGCAGCTTGCCGGCCAAGGCGACAACGACGACTACGAGCCGGTTTCCCAGCTCCAGCTCGGCCTACACGCGCAGTCCCGCATCTCGCAGCAATTATGATTACCTCAGCAATGCTACCACCAGCAGCAGCGACTACCTCAGCAGAAGACCCTACACGACGTCAACGACATCCAACTATTATCCGAGTACAGCAGCAACAAGTACCACGCATCTCAGTGATCTATTCAGGCGACGCAGTCCCGCCTCCACGTCCAGCTATGGGCGCAGCGATTACGGGCTGCCAGCCAGCAAAGAGTCGTGCGTTATCTCTTAGTAGTTAGCCTAAACATTGATCAAAAACAGCTATTTCTCTTTTATGTATAATTAAAATACCAACGCCAACGACAACGTATATAGAAGACGTCTCAACTATTATCTCTACTGAGGCCGAAATGAATTCTACACCACAGCCAAATGCGAAACCAACACACACGACCCCTCCCCCTTGAAACAAATACAACATATAGCTCCCCTAAACTAACACCTAAACAAAAAACATGCCAGGATAAATATATATTGGGGACCAAAATCTGGTCCAGCCAACGTTCCCCATCAACCGAAAGATCCCAACGCTACAGCCTGTCCGCCCGCCTGCCTGTCTGCCACGCCTACAACTTAGTCAAGTCCGTCCTGATCTTGAGATAAAGAAAGAAAGAGAGAAAAAGAGAGTTACACCTTTGTTAGCCACTAGCGTTTAAAAAGCGTCTGGGTACGATCTATGAAGGTAAATTCAATCAAAACTCTACACGAAATGTTGCGCTAACCCCCGAGCAGCTCGATCAAAAGCCAAAACAAAACAAAAAAGTTTGTAGTCTCTAAAACTAAATATAGACAAAATTGTTGTACCTACCGTTCGCTCTCGTTCTATGTACCCCCATAACCCGCCTAAAACCTACACAACAAATACTACACTTAACGCCCAGGTCTAACCCATGTAACCAAAGTCCGCGTTGTGTTTCGTTCGATTTTGTATTCGTATGTACCTTTCTGGATCGTACCTAAAGGCATGATGTTGCCTCTGCTGTTGCTGTTGCTGCTGCTCCTGCTGCTGCTGCCGCTGTCGCTGATTAACCCAACAACAAACAGACAACAACAACAATCCAAGCTATGACTAATTAAGCATGTTTGATAATCCAAGACATAAAAGAATACTTTCGAGCTTGGGATCTTGCTGATCTTCTTAGCACCCGCCTTTCTCTTGATGCTTTTTGTTCAAATGTTATTCGTTTTTTTGTGCATTGCTTTATTGTACTTATGTTGATCATCGCCATGAAGATATTAAATCATTTTGGTTCGATTTCAATTACAGGTACAAACCGAATCCGAGAGCACATCGCCCGACGAAGTTGAGCTTAACTCTGCCACTGAAATATCCACCGACTCTGAGTTCGACAATGACGAGATTATACGACAGGCGCCAAAAATCTTTATTGACGATACACATCTAAGAAAACCGACAAAAGTTCAGGTAAGCGTTCTCGTAAATATATTTTACCACTCACAGCAGTGCTGATCTATTCACTTGTTTACCAGATCAAGTCTACTATGATCACATCTAGTGCCTCCGGTCTGCACCAGAAGCAGCTGGCGGCACGCGAAAAGGGCGGCAGCTATTTGCAGAAATACCAACCACAGCCGGTGCAGCCACAGTTTAAGCCACTGGTCCAGGTGGATCCCACGCTGTTGATAGGCAGCCAGCGAGTGCCGCTGCAAAATCCACGACCCGGTGATTATCTTCTGAACAAGACGGCCAGCACGGAGGGCATTGCGTCGAAGAGAAGTCTAGAGCTGAAGAAACGGTATTTGCTAGGCGAACCGGCCAATGGGAACAAAATTCAAAAGTCTGGCTCTACCTCGGTCCTGGACTCGCGCATACGCAGCTTTCAGTCCAATATTTCCGAGTGCCAGAAGCTTCTGAATCCCAGCAGCGACATCAGTGCGGCAATGCGCAGTTTCCTGGATCGCACGAAGCTGGGCGACAATGCGCAGAATGCACAGAATGAACTGATGCGTTCGGCTACTACCAATGTGATCAATGATCTGCGCGTGGAGCTGAAGATTCAGAAGGCGCCGTCTAGCAACTCCACGGACAACGAGAAGGAGAACGTGTTCGTCAACAGCAAGAACGAGCTGAACAAGGGCATGGAGTATACGGATGCGGTGAACGCTACCTTAATGGAGCAGCACAACAAAAAAGGATCACCAACCACGCCCACCAATAACAAAACTGTCATCGAGATAATTGATCTGGTCACGCCCGAAACACCGGTGCCGTTCATTGATCTCACTGTGCTGGAGACGCCAAAGAAACCAAGTGAGGACAGCACTGAGATGGTAGATTCCCCTGCAAAGATCTCGGACAGCAACAAGTTAAATGATCTGAATCAGGAGGCTGTGAAGCCAGATGTGTCCAAAGACGTGAAGGAGTGCATACCCGACATACTAGGTGACATCAATGCAAAGAAGGAGACATCCAGCGCTGGCGACACTGAGGAGCAACAGTCACTGCTCTGTCAATCCGACGAGGAGAAGCGCGATTCACCAGAGAAGGCGGCCGATCTGGACCAGGAGCAGTATGAGCAGGAGACACTGCAAATCCAAGTGCCTAATATACCGTGGACCAAGCCCAAGTCAGAAATGATGTCGACGACCGCCAGTAGCGCCACCAGCTGCTCCAGCTCGGGCAGCTCCAGTATTGAAGACATACAGCATTATATCCTGGAGTCCACGACCAGTCCGGACACACAGACGGCGGGCAGCAAACACAATGTGCCGCGCGTTGAGGTGCACGACAGCAGCGGAGCTCTTATGCAGGTGGACAGCCTGATGATTGTGAATGGCAAATACATCGGTGATCCGGAAGATGTCAAATATCTGGATATGCCGGCAGGTGTCATTGTGCCGTCTCCACCGGCGCCAGCTATAAAGACCAGCGAACTGGATGACGAGCATGAGGCGGATGTTGAACCGGTAACGGCGACTCCAGAACCGGTGGAGTGCACAGTTATCGAGACGGAGCGTCAGTCCCAACCACCACCCCCACTGCCAGAGATGGGACCACCCAAGCTGAGATTCGACAGTAAGAATGAAAACAAAATCGAAAGCTTGAAAAATCTGCCTTTGATCGTAGATCAACCCTTGGAGCACAGTCAGGTGGTGAAGCCCATTACGCTCAATCTGAGCAGTAGCTTGGCCAAGACGCCAGACACGCCGACCACGCCCACGCAGCATGATAGCGACAAAACGCCCACGGCCGATTTGAACTCGCGCGGCTCCGACTCGGAAACGGAGCCCACTGGCACCGGCCAGGTGCTAACTGAAACGGAGCTTTCCGATTGGACGGCCGATGATTGCATTTCGGAGAACTTTGTTGATATGGAGTTCGTGATCAACTCGAACAAGGGCACAATGAAGCGACGCAAGGAGCGACGTCGCAGTGGGGCAGTCAAGCTGCCCAGCAGCAGCGAGGTGCTCCACGAGCTGGCCAAGCAGGCGCCCGTCGCTCAAATGGCCATTGACTTTGATGACATTGAGTTTATGGACACTGGCTCCGAGGGCTCCTGCGCCGAGGCTTATTCAGCGACCAACACGGCATTGCTGCATAATCGCGGCTACATGGAGTACATTGAGACGGTGCCCAAGCAGACGGCAAGCACGGACAACACTCGAACAACAGCCGCTGGGCAAACACAGCCGCAGGCCCAGCCACTGCTGACCAAGCGGGATGAAAAGCTCGGCATCGATTACATAGAGCAGGGCGCCTACATAATGCACGACGATGCCAAGACGCCGGTGAATGAGGCGCCCCGTCTGCCCATCAGCTCTCAGATGACTCAGTCTCTGACTGATTCGAGCACACTGAACGACCTGGACGAGGACAGCCTCGGTGCTATGGTTCAGTCACAGACGCAGCCCACTGTAACGACCACAGAAGAAAGCGAAGCACTCACAGTGGTCACTAGTCCGTTGGACACCTCATCGCCGCGGGTGCTCGATCAGTTTGCGTCAATGCTGGCTGCTGGCAAGCCGGACGTATCCACACCTAGCAGCTCCGACCAGCAACCAAAGACCACACAGTCGACAATGACCACAAACAGCAGCGCCAGCAGCTCCACCCCAGCCCCTGCGCCGCCCAAGGAAACGGACGAGGACATGCAGATCCAGTTCGAGTACGTGCGTGCGCTGCAGCAGCGCATTTCGCAGATCAGCACACAGCGCCGCAAGAGCTCCAAGGGGGAGGCGCCCAATCTGCAGCAGCCAACTGTGATAGAAGCGACCAATGTGCTGCAGGCGCCAGCAGCGGATGGGCAGAGGGCAGGCGCTGAGAACGGCACGACTGCAGGCGTGCGACCCAGGAGTGGCAGCTCGGCAAGCAAAGTACCTGAGATACCGACGCTCAACAGCAAGCTGGAGGAGATCAGCAAGGAACGCACCAAGCAAAAGGATCTCATACACGATCTGGTCATGGACAAGCTGCAGTCCAAGAAGCAACTGAATGCCGAGAAGCGTCTGCATCGCAGCCGGCAGCGCAGCCTCTTGACCAGCGGCTATGCCAGCGGTGCTAGTCTGAGTCCCACGCCCAAATTGGCCGCTGCCAGCAGCTCCAGCGATGCCAACTGCAGCAGCCAGGCGCACTACCATGTCTCGACAGCTGCCGAGCAGTTGCCCAGCCGGCCAAGCCAGCCACCGAATGACGTTTTCGTGCAGCCCAATCCGCTACAGAAGTCCGCAACAGCATCCTATGTTTCGCCCTATCGCACAAAGCAGCCGGCGTTGCGCACAGCAGATCTTTACAAGTCGCGTCCCTTCAGCGAGCACATCGATGCGGAGCAATTGAGTCTTCTGGAGCGGCATAAGCTCAATAAGACAGCCTCGTTCAGCTACGGTAAAGTGGATGAGCTGACAACACCCAATGCGCCAGTGCGTCCGCATCGCAACGGCAACCATGGTCAAAGTCAGCGGCAGATCGATCAAGCTGCCGATGTGGGCATCTCCTCAACGTCCACAGAGAATCTGCGCAGCGAGGCGAGAGCACGCGCTCGCCTAAAGTCCAACACAGAACTGGGCCTGAGTCCCGAGGAGAAGATGCAATTACTACGCAAGCGACTACACTACGAACAGAACAGCGCCATTAAGGCGAAGCAGCAGGATGCAGTTGCCGGCGACCTCACGGCACGTGCTCGAAAAATGAGCGCCTCCAAAAGTGTCAACGATCTGGCCTACATGGTTGCCCATGGCCCACAGCAGCCACTGCGCATGGAGAGCGAGGCCGTGAGCAAGGCCAAAGCTGCAGACTTTATATCGGATCCCAATTTGGCGGCCAGTGCGCAGGATAAGCCGCAGCAGAGCAAGCCCAGTAGCAAGCGGCATAAGGATCCAGAACGTCGCAAAAGTCTTATACAATCCTTGTCCAGCTTCTTTCACAAGAGCAGCAACAACTCGACAACCGCCTCGGCGTCCAACAGTCCCAAGGAACTGGGCGGCGCTGTAGCTGCCTGTCACTCTGAGCATGCAGAGCGTCCGGGCACTAGCAGCAGCGGCACGCCCACGATCTCCGACGCAGGCAGCGGCGGCGGCGGCGGTGGCGTCTTCAGCCGCTTCCGCATTTCACCCAAATCGAAGGAGAAGTCTAAGGTAAGTCTTTGCCGCATCCCCAACCAGTTTCAGCTTAATGTGAAAAGTTTTGTGCGAATTCACAAAGAAGTCATTAATTAATTGTGCATTACGAATTGGGGCTGTGCAATCTGGGTTAATTTACATTAATGTTCTATGTGTGTCCTTCATCTAAAACAACAAATTCAACTCTTATCAACATTTTACAGTCTTGCTTTGATCTGCGGAATTTCGGTTTTGGTGTAAGAATATTTTTACTTAACTATTTACTACTATATGCTGTTGATAATCTCGAAATTTCATTGATTTGGCATGAGCTATTTATATGTTTCACATTAAAATATTTTAAAATGCACACTGCACAAAATTCCAAAAAAAAACCTTACACAATTTTGATTCATAAAAAAAATAATCCCTGGGTATGTTAAAAATAGTGTTGTTACACATTTTATTATTTTCTCTTTTTTATGTTTCATAGCGCTAAATTTCACAATGCTTTGTGAAATGTTTTGATTATTGTTTTCATTTCATTTCTAATCTTGCTTGAAAGCATTTTTTATATATTTTAATTTTATTTTCTTTTCGCACTTGCAGCTGAAAATATTTAGGTCATAACTTGCCTGATACCCTATGATTATATATTTTTAGTTAATTAATTATGATTATGTTTTTTTTACGAAAAACATAAACCGTTTCTGGTTGTATGGGGCCTGCATTACCTACCTATATGATTCTATATGCATATAAAGATATTATTATTTGACATAGGCTTATTGACTTTACTATCTGTTATAATTTGTTTAAGTTTTTTGGTTAATTAAAAATTTTTATTTTCAACTACTTTTTAAGTTTTTGGATAAATTTACATATAAATATGGAAGCTATTTGGGTGTTTCAGAGTAATTTATTTCTATTATTATTATACATAAGTACATGTTGCATGAATTGGTTGAATTGGTTTGGTGTGGTTTCAAATCCAATCAAAATCCCCTTAAATAGTGAATAGTGAAGCACGTTGTGTTCTTATAAATAAGTTGTTAATAACATTTTGTTTTTAAACTGATAATTGATAACTGAATTGAATTGAATTGAAAATTGTTTACATTTTGGATGTTTCTTTTATGCCATTGCCGCCGAACCTTAAACAATATACACAACATACACACACAATTTTTAACCAAATATATTTCAATGAAACACGACAATTAGGACAAGGATATGTTCACAAACAATGCAACATTGCCAACAAGCACAACAGCAGCAACAATCACAACTCAAACGAAACACGCCCAAGATTACCTCAACACAACGAACAACAGTCGCTATCGAAAGCAACCGAACACCGAATCGTTCTCATCGTCCAGCCCGCAGCTCTATATACACAATCCCCATCATTTGGCCGCAGCGATTGCCATGGATGACCAGATCCCGCCACCCATACCGCCTTTGCCACTGAATTATCAAAGATCCGATGGTTTGTTAAACTCATTTTATGTAAACATTTCCCAAATCTCTGTCCAAATGAATTTTACTTGATAAGATTAAGCAACTAATACACATTTATAAATATATGTTTATATTTGTGCGTAATATGTAGATGAGAGCAACGCTAACGAGACACGAGAGCATAAGAAGCAACGTGCCATATCGAAGGCTTCGCGACAGGCTGAGCTCAAGCGATTGCGAATCGCTCAAGAAATACAGCGTGAACAGGAGGAGCTCGAGGTGCAATTGAAGGAACTGGAGGCTCGAGGCGTTCTAATTGAGAAAGCCTTGCGCGGCGAAGCGGCGAACTACGAAAAGTTAGTAAAAATGCGGCTCAACTAAACGATTAAATATTACAATAAACACCTATTTTTGCAGTCTCGATGCAACTAAGGACAATGACGACAAGCTTTTAAAGGAACTTTTGGAAATTTGGCGCAATATCACAGCCCTAAAGTGAGTATGGCACCAACGAATGCAATTACTTGACCAAATTTATGTAAATACCTTTTTACTTCATTTCATTTAGAAAACGTGATGAGGAACTCACTATAAGACAACAGGAACTGCAACTGGAATATCGACATGCTCAGCTTAAAGAGGAGCTCAATTTGCGCTTGTCTTGCAATAGTAAGTGCCAAGAAATAATTCGGCATCTGTATTTAGTATTTAAAATCTGTAACTCTATTGTAGAACTAGACAAGAGCTCCGCCGATGTAGCTGCGGAGGGTGCAATACTCAATGAGATGCTGGAAATAGTGGCTAAACGTGCCTCGTTACGACCAACCGCCTCACAGGTGGATCTTACTGCAGCCGGCACGGCATCAAGCTCAACGGACGCGGGCATCACACTAACCGGTCATTCGCATGAACAGGAGGAATCGAATGTAAGTTCTATGACTCTTATCTGTATAAACATAAAATAATTAACGAATTTTGTTATTCTATTTCAGATTTGAATTTTAAATTTGCCTTGGGGTTTACTGGCTAATGAGATCTGGCAAGGATTTATACGCCTAAATACTTAAGCAGAAATGTACCAAAAAGCAAAACACAAAAAACAATAATGATAACGATACTAAGAACAGAGAGCTGTAAGATAAACGAGCAAAATATACGCCGAGCGAGCACTCTGGCGGAATAGTTTATAATATAGTCGCTTAAGATATTTTTCAAGAAACGCGCAACATTACTGTATAATAGGAAAAACTATAGAAAACAAAAACTACATAAACAAAGTTTGCCAATTTTAAAGTTAAAATTCAGTTAGTTTCGAGCATTATTATACACAAAATCTTGTAGTCACTTAAATTGCGCACCCCGTCAAAATATTTTAATGTTTTGTCTGATCATTGTATGTTGTATTATGTTGTGTAATAAGTTAAGTGTGAAACGTGAAAATGTATGTGCAAATTGTTTATCCTGTTTTAATCATTTTTAAATGTCGACTTTGATTAGTATAATTTGATTTGTGTGTCAAGATTTTATTTTTATGATCGCTGTACGTCACTCATCATGCATGTAATTTGCTGCCCAACTAAAAACAAAGTGAACACAAAGATTTACACACAAATATTTTCTATACATATTTATATATACATATATACATATATATAAACATGCATATGTATAATACAAAAGTATATAAAGATATATTAGGAAGCAAAGCACTTTGCTTTCATGTATGCTAAAAAGTTATTTAAAAATATGTACTATTATTTATTTTCTTTAATCAACATATTTATCGAATTTATTATGTAATTTTTTGATTTGTTTAAAATTGAATAAAGATTTATTAATTGTGAGTAACGGACAATTTTAATTTATCAATCCCCTTCAACAAGATGGCAACGCCACGTCAGGCAGTGGCAAACCTATCGATTATTTCAGTATGGTATCGCGATTATCTGCTATTTCACTTGAAGTCCATCTCTATTAGGAGGCAGCATAATTAAAAGGCGACTTGCATTCGTATATTTACCTGTGAACAAATTTATGTTTTTAAATTATTTTGAGCAAAATGTCTGACGAAAAGATCAGCATTAATACCAAAAATGTCGAAAGCTCGGTACCGCAAAAAGAAAGCAACATAGCTTCGCAGCATAAAACACAGACGCAATCTGCGTCGGCGCAACTCTCAGCCGATGCAGAAATGGAGGAGGAAGCTGCGGGCCAACCTGCGGCCTACAGCATGCGACCAGCATTTGGTGAATCCTTCCCGTTACCAATAGTTAAAAACATTATAAACAGCACAATGGCTGCGAAACTGAAAGGTAAGCTAAATTGCAACCCAACAAACAAGCGTTGCTAAGCAACTGCAATTTACAAATTACAGACAAAATATATGATAAGGACATTGCCAAGATTTGGACCCGTGAAATCGCGGATGAGGTGAATCAGCAAATTGTGGCGAGTCCGAAAGTCAAGCGCTACAAGCATGTAGTGCAGGTGATGCTGGGCCAAGAGCTGGGCGCCGGTTCGACCTATTTATCGCGTTGTTGCTGGGATTGCGATTGCGACACTTCGGTCACGGAGGTATTCACCAACACTAGCCTATTCTGCGTGTGCACAGTGTTTGGCACATATCAGTACTGAAAACGGAGGAACCTGAATGTAACTGGAATACTTTATATTTATATGCCAAAGGTATCATGAATGGCATACTTTTTAATTTTGTTATTTGTGGAACACATGTCTTGGATAAGTCTTTAATTTTAATTATTCATATAAATATATGTACATATTCACTAGAAACATATGTACTATGCTATACCAAGTTTCAGTTAGGCAAGCGCTTCTATAGTTCTATAGAGGTGCCACTTTGATCTTTACCAATAAGAATATTGTGTTATGTCAACATTTTCATGCTTTCTTTTTTCAAAATTAATCATGTAAAAATTAATCTTAATATAGACAGGGTACACCGCTTAACTAGTCAATGCTTATCTACTCGGAAAAGAGGAGGCTTCGCACAGAACAGATCTGTTAATTGTAATGTTAGCTAACAGTTCACTGTTCAATCGTGTTTTAGACATGTGTATTAACATACGTTTGATAAAGCGTATGCAAACATTCGTATAATGTAAGCAGAGATAGAAAGAGGTTATTAATTTGATTATTTCTATGATTGTCATGTGCTCCACTTGTTGAGAGCAGAATAGAGCAATGGAGTCAACGTCTGTGTTATTTTTTGTAAGAGTAATTGGTTCTCTTCCATTTCTCAGTTAAATATTTTTTATTTATTTTAAAGTTAGTTAAAGCTCCATAAACTTAGCTATAATTTTGCAGTTGATAAAGTTCTTGCCCAATACAAAAGATAGTGACATCTAAATACGAGTATTTCACTAACATGTGTATATACATATAAACAATGTATATTAATGATATAAAATAACTACAAAATTAAAAATAAAACATATCAATTTAATCAATCAATGAAATTTGTTATCTAGTTTAAAATGCTTGAAAAGCTCATGATAGTAAAAATGGTATAAATTCGGAATGCGACTCGAATTTTGTTTAGTTTATATCTGAACGCCAGACCAAACGACGCGTCGCGACGTCTGTAGAACCTATAATGACGTCAAATAACGATGACTACAATTCAGATGAGTTGGAAGCGCCCGCCTGGATGAACAAACAATTCTTTCAGGAGGTGCTAGTGGAGCATCTCAAGGAGCCGAGTTTGACAGTGAGTGCAGTAAGGATCTCACCGGCAAGTGTCAAGGGCGATCACTATGCGAGTGTTATGTTCCGTGCCAACGTCGAGTATTCGTCAGAAAAGAGAAAGTGTTCAAAATCGCTTATCATCAAGACAATGCCAGAAATGGATGGGCATAAAAAAGAGTTCGTCAGCGAATCCAAAATATTCCAAACTGAGATTGAAATGTATACAGAAGTGTTACCCAGGTTCGAGGAGATACTTCGCGCAGCTGGTGAGGATACGAAGTTCTGTGCGACCTGTGTGTATTACAGCATGCAGCCACGACAGATAATGATCTTCGAGGATCTGTTGCCTCTGGGCTACGTAGTGATTCGCAATCGGAATGCCACACTAGACGAGTTGCGGGCCGCGCTGGCAAAACTTGCTAAATGGCATGCGGTTAGTTTCAAGTTGTTGGAGGAGCAGCCGGGAATATTTGATAGGCTTCAATATGATATAACAACTATGCCAAACTTATTTGAACTGGAAGTCATAACCAGCGCCCTGCCCAACTTTATAAATATGATCAGTCAGGAGGATAGTTTAAAGACGTATCGCAAATACTTTGAGCCAATGCGTGAAAATATTCTTAGTCGCTGGCAAGACGTATTACGAGAATACAGACAGAACCGACAAGCCAACGCATATTATGTTCTGTGCCATGGAGACTTTCATATCCGCAATATTATGTTCAAGGACAACGATTGCATGCTGATTGACTTCCAGATGTCATCCGTGGGATCTATTGCAAACGATCTGCAGTATGCCAAATACATGCTGTTAAGTGGTGACGACCGAAAGGACAAATGGGATGAAATTCTTTACCATTACTTCGATACCTTTACGAGGACCTTATCTAAAATTGGATATAAAGGACAGATGCCCAGCCTGGTCGAATTGCGTCAGCAGATTTTTGACAGAAGGTCCACTGGTAAGGTCATATAAAACAGCATTACGGTCATAATTATCTTCGATGTGTGTCTTCTGCAATAGATTACTTTCTGCTCACAACATTTTTGCCTGGTTCGTATAGCATGCGTAAAGGCAAAGATCCCGGTGAATTCATGAATAACGAAAGACTTCGCTTGGAATTGTACCAGGATAAGGATTACAAACAAGAACTGGAATATCTGCTGCCTCAAATGTTACATTTGGGTTACTTTGAGCCTCCAAAATAAGAATCCAATTACAATAAATAGCAATAGATCATTGCTTAACTTTCAAGAGGCTTGTCTATAATGACTACAGGTTCTGGCTGAATTTTTTATATTTAAGAGCTATGTTGCTTTGAAAATTAATTAATAATAAATGTGAGATCCAGGCAGGTTTTTTAGTCTATGGCCTAGATAATTGACTACAAAAATAGATAACAAATAATTGCGAACATTGTATTTCTATCTATGTTAAGTAGCTTGTCTACTCTTTATCTACATCTATTCCCATTGAAAACTAATGCTTTAAAAATGATATGACTGGTGAGTGATAAGTCTCTTACCTCCTACTGTATTTTTAGTCTGCTGCAAATGCTGCACCTGGGTTCACTTCTTGCTTTACTCCAGTAAGTGCTCACCGATAATTAATTGAAGGGGGAGTCTATATCCATTTATTCGTCCAGCGTTACTCTCAAACCGATTAAAAAGATAACAAAACAAATAACGAACACGTTTTCGTTCACAAAACACTATATATACAAGTATATATATATATTAAACTGATACATGTAAATATATATATATATACATATATATATATATATATATATATGTTTAGACGTATCCGGTTACACCACACTCTTATGCAATAAATACAAACATACATACATATTGCACGCATAATAAAATTTCCTTAGTAATAGCAACGCAGACTGTCACATTCTCGAATGCAAATCAAAAGGGAATACTAGTCTAAATTTAGCGTCATTTCACAGTCTCCTCCTCCTTATCCTGGGGATCATTTGCATCCAATTTAGCGCCATTGTGCGGTTTTTCTTCTGTTTTCTGCTGTCCGCTTCTGATCAGCTGCTGGAGCTCGTCTGCCCAGCCTAGTGCTTCGGCCAGTGCCAAGACACCTGCATCGCAGTCCCCTAGGTAAGCCACATCGCGCGTATTCTTCGGTTTGCCATAGAGTAAACACTGTTCATTGGTATTCATCCAAGAAGCAAAACTAGAGCGTCCAACGGCATCGCGATTAATAAGTAGGCGAACGCAACGGGGCCCAGCCCGATGGATGAGCGATGCAAAGGGCTGCACCTCCAGCGATGTACCCATGATAATGAGCAAATCACAGTCCTGAAAATCCTCCTCGGGAGTGCTGTAAAACTTGCCAGGCAGGTTTTCTCCAAAAAAGATAATGTCAGGCTTTATAAGTCCTTTACATTCCTCGCATTTTGGTAGCTCATCTGCGAATATCTTCGCCTTCATCCAAGCCATATCGTACTCCCTGTTGCAATTGAGACAGTGGCTCGTATGGAAGCTGCCGTGTGCCTCAATAATCTTGTTTTCGGGTAGACCGGCCAATCGATCCAGTGTATCGATGTTTTGCGTATAATGACGCTTTAGCAGGCCCTTATCGTGCAACAGTCGAACAAAGTAATGTGCCGGCGTCGGATCAAACGAGCCGGGATATAACTCTTTGGCCAGTGCAAAGAAAGGCGTCGGATTCCTCTGGAAGTAGTCCACATCAAATATTGCCGTCGGATGCGGCAGCTTGTACTTCTTCAAATTGCTGTACAGACCAGAGCCTGGCGATCGAAAATCCGGAATACCCGCAGCTATGTAAATTTGTTTCCAATATTTTTTAGCAATTAGCACATCAAAAATAGAATTTTGGTGATTTGTTAAACTCACACGTGGATATTCCAGCACCCACCATGGTCACAATGTTTTTAAAGCCATGTTCGCGCCAATACGATGATAGACCTTCAAAGGTCAGTTCCGGAATTACCTATATCAAATACATACACACACACACACTTACAAAATCTGCATAAATTACAGATAAAGCTCACCTTATCCACAATTGCGTCTTCGTTATCCGCAGCTTTGCCCGATGCCAAATGAAAAGTCTGGGAAAAGAAGCGACTAATCATATCCATAGTGCCATCTGAAAGTGAACCATTTGACAATAAATTCAACATTTACTTGACTCGATTGTATCAAACCTTCTTCGTTTTGGCTGTCGGAATCTGATTCTACTTGTTTTGTTGTTGCTTCTGCCGTTGCTGTTGCCGTTGACGTCGACGTAGACGTAGACGTAGACGACGGCTTTATGGGTACTCCATCTTCGACGTTCTCACTTTTGCTGCCATTCTCCACACTGTCAGTCATTATGCGTTTGTGAGCACTTAAAGAATGGAAATTAGCAAAGTTCGGCCGTAATTTTCGTGCTAGTATTTTTATTTATTATTTGGTTTGTATGAAGTGTATGAATATTATTGTTGCCTTGATGTAAAAGCAACGAAGGCCAAGTGCCGGGCGTTGCCACTGCGTGTCAACTTCATACAACGGAAAGCTGATTGCTATATAACGCGCACAGCATTATGGGCTGTTAGTTAAAAAACCGAGCCCGGCTCATTTTGAAAATTTATAACCAAATAAAAAAAAAAATGTCCAAATAAAAACCATTTTTTTTTTTTTTTTTTTTTTTAAAATTGAAGTATCATTTTTATTTGTATTTTATCATATAATTTTCATTTCGTTTGGTTTGCTTATTTTTAGTACTTGTTTTCAAATAGCTTTTGTTTTTTCTCTTCCAAATTCTTCATATTTTTTGTTGTATATTTTGGTTTATTGTTTAGAATTAACATATACATTTAACACTTAAATGATTTCGAAGAAGTTGAATATATTTTTTCATGTATTTTCTCTATTTCATCTGCTTAGATTACGTTAGTATGAATTGTGATGATGACCGATGTAAATGGAGCGAAAGTGATTTTTCGTTTGTTTTCTGTACTTTGTTTATATTAGGTGTATGTGTGTGTTTGTGTGTGATTATGGATTGTGAATTGATACATTTATACACTTAGGTAGACAC